CCTTTCTTGTACCACCTTTGGTAGGTACTAACCACTGCATACCAGGAACACCCCATAAAAATTGGAGTTTTGGAGATGTTCTGACCCAGTTTTCTAGCCATCACTATTTGGCCGTTATCAAAGCCACTCAGATCTTTTCGCTTGTGGTTTTAATGTTTTAAAGTGGTTTTAATGTTGTGGCTGATTAGTTTATAGTGAGATGGCATGAAGGCACGTTTTAGTGTGGATGCTTTGTTGTAGATGCTTGTCTGAAAATAGGGTAGTTTGTCAGTGTGTGCAATTGCAAGGGGTATTTTAAGGATCTAAGCTGAATTAAATAGTTTTGATGTATGGATAATGCCGTTGCATTCAGCATTAAGTCACAGTCCCCCTGGCTGTGTCTCACAAAGCAAACCTGTAAATTGTCATTTGCCTGTTAAAGTACATTGTGCTTACCTTAGAAGTTTTCACCTCCTGCTCTATAGATTTTACTTTAATCATGCACAGGAGGCCTCTGTAGGCTCTAGCAGGCAATTAACAGTGCAGGAGATAAAATTCTAAACTAAACAGACTGTGCAATAAAAATCATTTTATACATTAAATCTCTCTCTCTGTGATTTAACTCCTAAATGGCCGAGACTTCAGCATAAGATTAAAATTGGTATTTCACACGACTACATGCAATATAAATAGATATGTTATGGTATATTTACTAAATATCAATTTAAAAAAAAAAAGAATGTAGGCCAAAACAGCTGAGAAGCAGTAATGATTTCATTATTTTTTTTTTAGCAATGTTGGCCTAAATTTTTTAATTCTGGATTATACATGTTTTGTGATAAAATTTATAGTTTTTGTCCAGGTGTTTTGGGGGTTTTTTTGCTTCAGGTTTTTCTTTTTATTTGACTTTCTGCCAATATGCAAAAGCTTATATGAAGTAAGAATGACAAAAATAATATTTGCATGGTAAGAGGTCGGTAAATATTACTGTATCCAACACAAGCCACTCCAGAAATGCATTTGAATGGATTAAAAGTAACTACAATTTCAGCAGTTGGTTTCAAAGGTCTGAACATAGACCCAGGTAAAATCTAGGTACAATCTCTTTGGGGTTTGCTGCAAAGTACAAAAAAAAAAACAAAAAAACAATCTGTCAACAACCACACTGCCCCTGATTTAGTTAAAGGGTTATTCCAAGTCCAACCACTTTTAGTGGTCATGTAGCAAGAAATGTTTTGTGAAGCATTTCTGCTTCAAATGCTGCACATAGAGATAATTGCACTTTTGTGCCAGAGGCTAGTTGCAACTGCTCTGGGCTGCCTAATGTCAATTCTGTGCAAAATAATACACCTGTTGTCTTTTAGCAATATTAGAAGCATTTGATTGGACCAATGAGATTGGAATAATTGCTACAATGTGATGTTGGAATGGGGTGTGGCTAAACCTTGCCTGTCACGGGATTCCAGATAAGATTTAACTTTTATAGCAGTGATTCCAAACCAGTTTACATGCCCGCCATCTCCACCCACCAGCCCAGGATTTAGGGGGGGAGAGAGGAGGAAGAAGAAGAAAAAAAACCAAAAAAAAACCCCCAAAACCTTAGACACAGTTTGGTTATTACTAAATCCTGAACTAGTAAGGATGCATGAGGAATGATTTGGGAACCCCTGTTTTACAGGCTTAACATGAAAAGGGGGTGTGGACAAGCTAATAGGGCCCAACAGGGCAGTGACAGAATGTAAAATACATTATATAAACAGGTTGGAGTAACCCATTGTATTAATGGTGCAATAAGGGTGTTTGATTCACTACTTCAACAATCTTAACCAAATACATGCACAATGTACGCAAAGAGTTAAAATTGAAATGTAAAATAACATTGCTAGCCAGATTCTGCAGATGAGCTTCTTCTTCCTCCCTCACCACCAGGGAACAAGGGATTAAAAAACCTGCAATAATTGGTCTCTCAACCTCTCTCTCTCTCTCTCTCTCTCTCTCTCTCTCTCTCTCTCTCTCTCTCTCTCTCTCTCTCTCTGTACAGGGGATGGTGAAAGAAAATGAATAACTAAAAACTCAGTTGGGACTTCCCGATACCCCATTAATCCAGATGGACCCTCACATTAATTTAAATCATGGTACCAAGGGGTGACGATTAATAAAACTGCATACATAGAAAAGTCTAAATGCTCTTTCCCCTGTCACACTACGGGAGGGGGGCAATAAGTGCAGGGGTCCTAGCCAGTTATGTAGGCCTTCCAAGAAGATGCAGGTGCGAACAACTTTGCTAATGTGGACTATTCATTAAAGATTAGCTGTGATAATTTAGTTTCCACCTTTTTATTTTAAGGTATTGATGTGTTTTGCAAAGACTCCTTCCCCAAGGCACCCATCCCCCTCCACAAAGAACCCCCACTTCCCCGTAAAGCTTAATACTTTGGCCTCTGGCCACGGAGGCTGCCATTGGTTGCATCACAAGCGTACTCACGAAAACACACAGGAGTACAAGACAGGGTCTGTGGAAGAATATGCGAGGCAACTTTGATTAAAAACCATAAGCGTCCATCATGAGTGAAGGCTGATGGGAAAGGACAACAGGCAGAATATGTTTGCATTCCACTCTTATTAATTTGATCAAAAATGGGCTTCTCCATAATAGTTAAGTTACATTTTAACACAATCTAGGGAGTTTTTCATTAATAATCAATCTCAACTAAACCTATCATCCTTACTGAGAAAAAAAAAAAAAAAAAAGAACTATTGAGTTATAATGGCAACATTTACCAGGATGAACTTGAAAACTAGCAATAGCTAAAATGTACCCTTGTTGGTTACATAATGTGACATTATATATTTACAGATTGGGACATACCGCACACAACTCCACTTCATGACCCACATGCAGAACAGGAAGCCTGTTATTTACTTTTATACCCAGTGTAATTCAATGAGAAGAGGGATATGTTATTAGGGTATCTGCACACCATTGCTGTCATTTATTTAAACACTGTGCCTAGTGACTTTATTTTGGGGCTTTTTTTTTTCAATATATTCCCCAATAAGAGCCAAATCCCAGATAATTTAGGTAGATGTAGTCTTACTGCAATTTGGTGCAAATTAAGTTAATCCTCCTTTGGTTTGGCTGTTCAGACAAATTCAAGATTAGAATAGGAGAGCTGAGAAGAAACTACTTTGAGTTTAATTGTTAATAGCTTGCCTATTTTGGCCTTTGAATTCTTGAGCGTTCACAAATTTAGTGTACAGTGTAAGTATATGCAACTGTCATGGCGTTATGCCAACCTGTAAATAATATTAAAAGAAAATACAACCAGTAAGTATACAGTATGCATGTTACACTGAAAGGTTTTAAATCTAATCAAAGTATAAATTATAGCCACATCTCCAACTTTCAGAAAGTTACGTAACATAATGTGATAGTAACTTTTTAACTGCAAAGTTAAAATAAAAGAAAGAAAGAATCATAAGTGGTTTAAGTACACCCACACCAACCGCTAAAATTACAGTAAGAGGACAAACTGATTATCATTGGACATTGTCACAAACAGTGTTAATTTTGATGGCAAATTTCAATTTAGTTTTAGTCATAGTCTTTTGACTAAAAAGCAGTTTTAGTCGTATTTTAGTCATTTGAATTGTTTTATTTTTAGTCGACTAAATCTCAAAAATGTTAGTCGGCTAAAATTTGACTAAAATTGTTAGTCGATAAAATTAACACAGGTTACAAAAGGTAAGGCCTGAGTTTGTGTTCCTGTAGATATTCAATTGCTTAAAGTATTAATCTCCCTTTCAACAATCCTAGGGTTAAAGGACCAGACTGACTGGGTTTAACATGGTATTTGTTTATCAAAACAACACTAGCGCATGCTTAGAAATTCAAATGCTAGCCCTGGCCTAGCTAAAAACTTCACAAATCTTTCCTCAAAATACAGATCTCGGACTTCAAATATACAAACACAAAATCAAAAAAACGTCATCATAAAACGGTATGGTCAATGCTTGATGATTGCAAGCAAACAAAAGGAAACTATAGCATGTATACTTCGAAATGAGCTCTCTTTAAATCTCAAACATTCTGAATTAATTTTCAAAATGCTGACTGGTGCATTCTCTCTCCATATGATGAAGGGAATGGCCCAGAAGCACTTTGCCTGTAGGATATGTTGCTACACAGGTGTGATTTCAGAATTACAGGGAGGGGCAGTTCTTCACCCTCCTCCTTCATCATTTCCTCAGGATGAATTATATCAATAAGCTTTGCAACATGACAGATCAGGGAGGAGAGAAAACAAGGAAATTAGTGGTACTCATAACAAAAACAGCAGATTTCATATCTAAGCCAAGGGTGGCCAAAAAAAAGGTAACACCCACCCCTCCCTTTCCCTCAGCTATTTTGGAACTACAATCCTCATGATGCTTTTTGATGGCATGGCATCAAAGGGAGTTGTAGTTCTGCAAAAGTTGGAGGTTTATATTTTAGCCACCCCCTGATCAAAGAGGTCTCATGATGAGAAAAAAAATAAGGATCGACCTAGTAATTAAATAATGGCATTTAAAATAAATATGCATTAACAGATCATACACATTGACATATTTTATTTTCTTGTAAGGATAAGAGGTTGAGAGATTTGCCTCGATAGGAGGATTCCAATTACAGTTAAAAACACAGGATTCTTATATAAACACTATTTGCCTGCATACAAATAAATATGTATCTAAATGTAATTTATAAAGTACAGACAGCAATTGGAGGTAATTATAGTTTCATGCAAAAAGTATAGTTTAGTAATAAAGGCAATATCTTTTCTGCAATAAAGGTTTACAAAACACATCCAGCACACACCCACCCACCCCTAGAGGGATGTTCAAAGGGGATTGTAATTTGTGGGTGAGCCTGGCTGGACCAGGGGGGGGGCAGAAGAGAGTGGAAGTCCAAAATCCCCCAATAAACACCATTCTATGCAGAATATACTGTATGGAGTGTTTAAGGTAAAGCGGGTACTCACCCATCCATGGCCCGGAGGACGAGGAGGAGAAAAGGAAAAAGAGACAGAGAGAGAAAGGGAGCAAAAGAAGCTCAGTGTGGAGAAGAGGAAAGAGGAGGAGGGAAGATGAGAGGAGAGGAGGAGGGAAGAAAGAGGAGGGCAGGGAGAGAGGTGCGACTGCTGTAGAGGGAGGTGGAGGAGTCATTTTATTAACAGCTTCACTGCCAGCACTTACTGACAAATCATGGACTGACATCAAACTTCCATACATCTTTTATCCAAGGCAGATCAAAGGATAAAACTCCAGGGGTTAGAGAACTACAACTACCGTGATGCTTTGCTAGGTTGCAGGTCTACCTACCTGTGGCCATCCCTGCAAACTCTTTAGTTAGTGGTCTGTCCCAGCTGTAACACTCAGGCTGGCTGTGCCTGATGGTGGTTAGAGCTCTGCAGCTCATAAAGGAGGTTAATTATGTTTTACTGACCAAAACAGTGCATGGAAAGTTGTGCAGAGTAAATAGTAATATATTATGCAGGAGGAGAGTGCATTAAATGGAATAAGCACAGCAGGGAGATAAAAAAGATGATATTCATGTATTCACAGTGCACTCTATTATATTCAGATAGTAATGTAAACAGCTATGTAATATGTATTTGGAAAACAGTTGGTTACTGATAAATCTGTGTTAAATATATGTATTTTGCATGAGTTATATTGGATCAACATATATAAAATGACAGAAAGAACAGCAATGACGCTTTGCACAACTAAAACAAAGGAACAGTCATAAATGGAACAAATTCTTTTTGACCAAAACATTCCCCCATCAGGACAGTGATCTTTAGTGTTATGAAGGCTCATGTATCAACAGATGGTAACTGTTAACATATGCAGGTAGGTACCCACCAAACCACATCCTCTAAAACAGAGATAGGATAGATGGGCAGAGCTAATGAAGTCTGACTATTGAGAAATACCACCTATTCACAGTCTTAAATGCATTCTTCCTAAGTGTAATACAGGTGTTAATAGAATGTGTATTTTGGAGAATATCATTACATTCCTCATTGTCCAAGGCTCATTTCCCACGTGCTTCTGTAGTATGTCAATGATAAGTTTAGGAGTGAGATTTAGAAATTCTTTTTCTTCCACCAGGTGTAGTTTGAAATAAGAGAATATAAAATGCAAACATTGTGTATCGCTGCCCAACCTTCTTGTGTCAATATTGAGACAGGACTTCCATACTCGTAATGTTGACGACATCCAAGAGATAAGTGAACCATGTCCATCTATCTCATGCCATTCATGCGTCAATTTAGACACTGCTCACTTGAACTAGACTTGTTCCTCAGCTTTGCTATATCTCCAACTATTTGTACGTTAAGTCCAGACACTTCTAAGGACTGGTAATATGTCACTATCCAATTTCTATTCTACCTTGTGTGCTGTGACATAATTCTGCAATGTTGTCAAGAATAGCTGATGCCCAACATGCAGTACTTAAGTAGATATGAAGAAAATTCCTTAGACGTATTATCGGGCCTTAGAATGGCCGGATTTAACGTATAAAGAGAAAAAACAAGGAAAAAAAGACAGGATAAAGACAAGACGTAGAAATAATGAACAAGCCACGAGTCAAGGAATGGAGAATTCAGAATAGTCAGGAGGAATACAGAGATCGGATAGTCAAAAAGGGAAGCCAAGGTCAAAAACACTAGAATCGATACCAGGAACGTGCTCTTGGATAGCCACAATGGAAACCACGACAGGACACAAAGAAATGGACAAAACAGGTTTAAATAGTCTAAGGCACTCCCTGATTGGCTGCAGGGAAACATGTGTTCGTGGGCGTGTGTGTGTGTGACACACCCACAGATCAATCATGATATGGCACTTTAAGGGTTAACTGAAAAAGTCTAACAAAGTTGCAGCGGCCGGCGTCTCTAATGTTTACAGACCCGGCCGCTGTGAGAGGAGGAGGAGCCAACACCAGAGGTGAGTGATGGGCGGCATTCCCATAACCACGTGGGAATGCCGCCAGACCGAGACGTGCCCGTCCCTGGTATGGGCAGACCCGGCGGGCGGCGACTGGACAGATAAGAGACCGGCGGCACTCCCCTTAGCGTTTGGGAATGCCGCTGCAACAATGCGGCGGCGTGACAAATGTTAGGTAACATCCTATCGTGATAACATGTGTTTACCGTCTTTCCTTGATAATACGACATCCCCCGAAAATAAGCCCTAGCTTATTTTCAGGGGATGCTCGTAAAATAAGCCGTACCCCGAAAATAAGCCCTAATTAGATCAGCGCTAGTTCGCTAATCTATGTTTAGGGAATATTTCCTTAACGTAGATTTGTGGGACTCCATTAGTGTGTAAATTAATCTGTGTTCGGGGAAGTTTCACCGAGCATAGATTTAATTTGTGAGTAAATCAATCTGTGTTCGGGGAAGTTTTCCCGAACATAGATCTATGGGATTTCCCTGAACATAGATTCCATGCGCTAATAGTAATATTTTCTTTATTTTCTTCTCCCTTTCTAATGTGTAACATTGTTCCGGGCATTAGTTTAATATATTTATGTTACTTGGCAACAGTATTAGTGACTTTGTTTTCTTTTTAAGGTTTATATTCATGTGACCTATTTTATGCAAGTTTATTACCTCAATTATTTTAACATTTCTAGCACTTGTCCCATTAAATAAATAATTATTTTGAACTGAAGTGGTGTTTTTGTGCAGACTATTTTGGCAGGTGCATTACAGATTGGATGTTACCTCATGTAACAGATAAGTATGATGATATTGATAATACTCATTTTATTGGTCCCATTTTGCTTAATATATGCAACCTCAAAGTGTGTGATTTTCGTGTAAAGGACATTATAATCACCAAAACAACTTTAGCTAAATGAAGCAGTTTTGGTGTATAGATCTTGCCCATGCAGCCTTACTGCTCAATTGTAGATTATGCTAACATAGTGACATAGTTACATAGCTGAAAAAAAGACTTGCGTCCATCAAGTTCAGCCTTCCTCACATTTGTTTTTTGCTGTTGATCCAAAAGAATGCTAAAAACCCAGTTTGAAGCACTTCCAATTTTGCAACAAGCTAGGAAAGAAATTCCTTCTTGACCCCAGAATGGCAGTCAGATTTATCATTGGATCAAGCAGTTATTACCCTACATTGGAAGATTATATCCTTGAATATTCTGTTTTTGCAAGTATGCATCTAGTAGCTGTTTGAACATCTGTATGGACTCTGATAAAACCACTTCTTCAGGCAGAGAATTTCACATCCGTATTGTTCTTACAGTAAAAAAAAACTTTCCTTTGCCTTAGATTAAATCTTCTTACGAAAGGCAAGCCACAGCGATCCCGGCGGGCCCCACTTTATAAGGCAAATAGGCTCGGGGTTGGTCGGGGAAGGGTGTTCCCCTCTAAAAGGCAGGTCCAACATAAAAGTATATTAAGATCACTAGGTCTAAGAAACGGAGAAATGAGGCCTGATCAAGACTGGTGAGGATGGGGGGGGTTGGTGGGGGGAGGGGGCTAATACGGGGGGGGGGGGGGAAACCTAGGAATGAAACCCTACAAATATTGTTGGGCATAAGGTTTAGGGGCCTTGTGAAACCTGTTATACTGTGTCTCCTGATATGATTTGACCTGTATTGTAACCTTACTACATACAAATAAAGAATGTCAAAAAAAAATTTTTTTTAAAAAGAATCTTCTTTCTTCCAGTCTAAACGCATGACCTCGTGTCTTATGTAAAGTCCGGTTTATGAATATATTTAAACACAATGGTTTGTATTGGCCCCGAATATATTTGTATAATGTTATCATATCCCCTCTCAGGCGACGTTTTTGTAAACTAAATAGGTTTAAACATAGTGTACTACTAATCTTAATTTAAGCAATGACAGGAGGTGAGTATTTTGCATTGACTTTCTTTACTTAAAACTCCAGAAGCAACAAGTCAATCAAAAAACAGTCATCACAGATATAAGGTAGGACAGCCCCCAATTCTCTCTCTTTCTTTGGTGTGAATGTAGATAGTCCCTTTTAACTGGAAAAGGAAAACTGATAACTCCAAACTGTAACGAATTGTTGAGGGAATTACATTCTGCTTGTAGTCGATGGAAGTATTCATACTGAAAAGAAGGAGAAATAAGTGAAAGGTATTGGTAGTGACTGTGATTCCACATCTCATTCTTGTACATACATGCATATTATAATCATCTATAAATTGATATGAAACTCAAATTAAAGAGTTATCAAACCCTCCAGAATTGTCATCAACTACATTCTAGAGAAAGGACTATAAATTATAAATTATAGCAGAAGTTAGTACATAGATAAGAGTAGTACAAAATATAGATAAAAGGGGAGGGAAACATAAAAACGGGGGGGGGGGGGAGAAATACATCGCCTCCTGTCATTACTAAAATTAAGATTATTAGTTAGCATAATCTACAATTTTACCACATGACAAGAGGCTTCATATTTTGCATTTTTCATGCTATCCGATTAGAGAAAAAGAAGCATGAGAGCAAGGACGGAAATAAAAAATCCGAAAGGTTTCTTTACGAGACCAGTCCGCCGAACTCATGATGTCTGAGATAGTAAGTTGAGAATCATGGTGATAGGAGTCGTAAAGAGATCAGTCCCTCTCCAAACGCCAGCTAGACCATTTTTTCCAGGTCGCGAGGTAGCTCCATCTGGTTCCGGGGGACCTTGAGTCCAATAGCAGGTCCTTAGTGATTTGTGATAGACCGTCTGTAGCCCAAGTTCCCCTGAAATCTTCCAAGCCACCAGATCTAGTCGTCAGAGGGTGCGGTTCTCCGTGAGGGCCGGATAGTAGGAGGGGAAACGAGGTTAGGAGGAGAGGATGGTTGTAGGGTAGTTCCAGAAGGACCGGGAACCACGCTTGACACTGCCGTAGTGTTGTCCGGAGGAGCATAGACATCTTCTGGTTGCGTACCTGGTGCATACTCCCGCCAACATGGAGAACGGGGAAAAGGTGTAAACCCCCACTGCTTCACAGTCTGGATCCTGTAACCTGATATTGTGGTAGAGACAGAAACTGTAAATCTCTTTTCTTGCATTTGTTAGTGCCACCCAGATGATTGATATATTGGACCACTGAGATGTTGTCTATGGCTTTCCCATTCCAGGCTT